TAGCTTGAAGCCTGAGGTTTTCTCTCCTGGCCCAAGCTGCTGATAGACTGAACTAGTACAATGCCAGAGGGTTTTTTTTATTCACAGGGACAGCCAATCTCTTGTTGAATCTTGCTAATTTCTTGGCCTCAATGAAAGCCTCTGACAGCGGAAAAAACACACAAAACAATACCCCAGCCTAATTGTGCCTCTTGTGTCCTTGCATGTCACAGGATACTCCTAATTTCTTGTGTTGGGAGCCAGAGAGAACAGAAGTGTCTGTGTTCTGCAGCATTTATTCTCACTACCCCTGATTATTGGGGTGGCTTGGTCCTTTCCGTGACGAGACCCCCCGTTTTCAGTTGTATATAATGGAGCCTGAAATTCAGGGTGAAATTGCTCGGAGCAGGTAGCAGCTTCGGACGGCTATTTTTTCCGGCTGTGTTTCAGCGGAACTGGCCCGGCTGTGTCCAGGGATGAGAGTAGGAAGATATATGGGCATCGCTGCTGAATTTCAGGCTTGATGGGGGCAGGTGACAAAAGCTTGCATGTTAGATTGGCCCGGGGGGGAGGGGTGTCAGAGTCTGGTGGGAGCCCAGTCGATTGCAGCAGGCGCCATGGAGAGAAAAACGGACCAGAGGGGGAATCGGATGAACGTCCCCGATGTCTGAGCTAGGGAGGTGAGATAACGATTAACTGAATAATCGTGTCACCGCCTCAAAACGTAGCGGCTACGCGATTCTTCGATAGGCCCCGGGGGCAGGGCTGGCAGCGAGTGTGCTCCAGCCCCATTCCCAAGGAGTCCTCTACCGCCCTGCGCTGCTGCCTCTGTATCAGAGGCAGCAGCAGCCCCTGTCCACGGGGGATCTGAGCTCTCTGTGGACAGGGGCTGCACTGACATTCCAGCCTCCCTTGCCCCCCCGCCCCACGCTGCTGCTTCTGATAGAGGCAGCGGGGGGAGGCGGCGGCGCACACCCAGCGCGCTCGGAGAGCTGGCTTAAAAGCCGACTTCCTACCCCCTCATCCTCTGTGCTTCTGTCTCTCTATCGGAGGCAGCAGCGCAGTGGGGGCGGGCAGCAGGCAGCTCCCCATGGGCACCGGCTCCCACCTCCCCCGCCCCTTTGCTGCCTCTGATACAGAGGCAGCAAGGCGAGGGCGGGGGGGAGTGCGTGTAGTCGATGAGATTAACCGAGAAGCCCAGGCGCGTTGGCAAATCGTGGGTCGACTGCATGTTGACGCAGGGAGACAAAACAGGAGGAACTAGAAATACACGTGAATCATCACAGTGACGAGATCATTGGCGTCCCGGAGACTTGGTGGGAGAAATCACATGCTTGGATAGAGAAGGGTACTGCTTGTTCAGGATTAACCAGCTTGGGGGGGGGGAAGGGAGGTGGCGTTGCCTTGTGTATCCGAGCTGTATACACTGAGGCGGAGATAGAAGTGGGAGGCAGACTTGTTGCAAGTTGCCGGGTAAAGATAGAAAAGGCGTTAAAAAAACCCAACCCAGGGTGAAGTGGTGGCATGGGTCTACCATACACACCTAGCCAGGAAGAAGAGGTGGAGGAACCTTTTTTGAAACAGCTGACAAAATTACTGAAGATGGAAAAAGTGCGCTAGGGGACTTGACTTGATGACCTCCTGAGGTTTCTTCCAACCCTATGTCCTAGGGGACGGGAAAGACAATAACAGAAAACACAGCAACAGCTGACGTATTGCATGTCTGTTTTGTTTCGGTATTCAAGAAAAAAAAAACCCGTAGCGGAGATCGCTAAACTAACAGCAAACATCAGCGTACCTGGAGCAGTTTCTGAGGCTACACCAGGGAAAGGCCGAGTAAGAATTACATAAATACATTCAGTGTTTTCAAGTCAGCAGGGCCTGACGAAATACATCGTGGAAGATTTAAGGAACTAGCCAGTGAGATCTGTGAGCCATTAGTGATTATCTTTGGGTAAATCTACATGACACGGTTATTTCGGGATATCCAAAATAGCTACTCCCTGTCTACGCAAGCTGCTCGTTATTTCAAAATATTTAAAAAAAAAAACGGATGCGCAATATTGGCATCCCAATAACTCTCGTTCCACGACAGTTCCGGGATGTCTCGAAATAGCGTGTTATTTTGAAATTTGGTGCTGTGTAGACATGCCAGGTTTTAAAATAAGCTATTTTGAAATGGATTTGAAATAACATACACCATTGGCACAAATGGCACCTCTTATTTCGAGTTTAGGGTGCGGCGTAGATGCACCCTTTGAGAACAACTGTAAAATTTAGCTATAAAAAGGGAATATAAGGACAACCCAGGGAATTACAGACCAGTCTGCTAAATTTCTATACCCAGAAAGATAATGGAACAAATAATCAAAGAATCCATTTATAAGCACTTAGAAGATAATAACAATCAACATGCAGTCGTCAAGAACAAATCATGTCAGACCAACCTAGCATCCTTCTTCGACCGGGTAACGGGTCTGGTGAATAGCAGCAAACAGCAAATGGGATTTCTCTTGATTTTGAGAGAGGATTTTGATATTGTCTCGCATTGCCTCACAGATTAACCATAGAAACAGAGCCTAGATGCGCATCTGGTTGGAAAAGTGGACGCCAGGAGTAGTGACGGAGTAGCGGTTCACAATCTAGTGACGGGGTAGCGGTTCACAATCTAGTGACGGAGTAGCAGATCACACTCTAGTGACAGGATAGCGGTTCACAATCTAGTGACGGAGTAGTGGTTCACAATCTAGTGACAGGATAGCGGTTCACAATCTAGTGACGGAGTAGTGGTTCACAATCTAGTGACAGGATAGCGGTTCACAATCTAGTGACGGAGTAGTGGTTCACAATCTAGTGACAGGATAGCGGTTCACACTCTAGTGACAGAGTAGCGGTTCACACTCTAGTGACAGGATAGCAGTTCACAATCTAGTGATGGAGTAGCGGTTCACAATCTAGTGATGGAGTAGCAGTTCACAATCAAGCTTGAAGGGCCAGGAGTAGTGACGGAGTAGCGGTTCACACTCTAGTGACAGAGTAGCGGTTCACACTCTAGTGACAGGATAGCAGTTCACAATCTAGTGATGGAGTAGCGGTTCACAATCTAGTGATGGAGTAGCAGTTCACAATCAAGCTTGAAGGGCCAGGAGTAGTGACGGAGTAGCGGTTCACACTCTAGTGACAGAGTAGCGGTTCACACTCTAGTGACAGGATAGCAGTTCACAATCTAGTGATGGAGTAGCGGTTCACAATCTAGTGATGGAGTAGCAGTTCACAATCAAGCTTGAAGGGCCAGGAGTAGTGACGGAGTAGCGGTTCACACTCTAGTGACAGGATAGCAGTTCACAATCTAGTGATGGAGTAGCGGTTCACAATCTAGTGATGGAGTAGCAGTTCACAATCAAGCTTGAAGGGCCAGGAGTAGTGACGGAGTAGCGGTTCACACTCTAGTGACAGGATAGCAGTTCACAATCTAGTGATGGAGTAGCGGTTCACAATCTAGTGATGGAGTAGCAGTTCACAATCAAGCTTGCGGTTCACACTCTAGTGACAGAGTAGCGGTTCACACTCTAGTGACAGGATAGCAGTTCACAATCTAGTGATGGAGTAGCGGTTCACAATCTAGTGATGGAGTAGCAGTTCACAATCAAGCTTGAAGGGCCAGGAGTAGTGACGGAGTAGCGGTTCACACTCTAGTGACAGAGTAGCAGTTCACAATCTAGTGACAGGATGGATAGTGGTTCACAATCTAGTGACGGAGTAGCGGTTCACAATCTAGTGACGGAGTAGCAGTTCACAATCAAGCTTGAAGGGCATATAAAGTGGGGTCCCACTGGGGTCTTACCTTGGTGTGAGTCTATTCAATATCTTCTTAAATGATGCGGATGGCGCAGAGAGTACACGTCTAACATCCACAGGTGATACCAAGCCGGGAGGAGCAGCAAGCACTTGAGAAGAGAGGGTTAGAATTCAAAATGCTTCTAGCAATGTGGAGACATGGTCTCAACTAAACCGGATCAAATTCAACCAGGACAAATGCTACGCTAGGGAAGAAATACCCACCCACGCCAATACAGAATGGCAAGGACAGCCCAAGAAGGAGTACCGCAGAAACGGACCTGAGGATTAAAATGAATCACGGACGACCTATGAGTCAACAATGTAATACAGCTCAATAAAACAGGCGAACATCATGCTGGGATTAGCAGGGATATGAAAAGGAAGACCTGGGAAGTCGTTCTTCCACTTGGCACTGATGAACCGTCAGTTGGAGTACCGTGTCCGATTCTGGGCACGACACAGCGCGTCCGGAAAGATGTGCACAATTGGCTCAAGCCCAGAGGAAAGCTACACAAATTAGGAAACTTCTAGAACACATGACCTATGAGGAAACACTTGAAAAAACCTGAGGGTGAGCGTGGGTATCTAGTTTCGAGTACAAACAAGTTGCTATCGAGAGGGTGGTGGTAAATTGTTCTCCTTAACCACTGATGACAGGTTAAGAAGCAAGGGGCTTAAACTGCAGCAAAGGAGGTTGAAGTTGGACTTTAGGAAAAACTTCCGACCTGCCAGGGTGGTGAAACATTGGGATAAATGGCCTACGGGGGGGTGTGGAATCTCTGTCAATTGGAAGTTTTTAAGAAGAGGTGAGAAGTAACACCTATCCGGGGTGGTGTAGAGCAGCGGTATTTACAATTGTGGGCCACCTACACGGCTCTCTAGGTCCGTGGGTTCCCAACCATTTTGAGCATATGGACCCCTTTTCAATCTGTTAAAATTTCACCCCCCAACCAGGGGAGAGAAGAGAAGAAAAGAGAGAGGAGGATCCGGCCAACCTTACACTTTTAAAAACTTTCCACGCACCCCCGGCAATACCGTCGTGGACCACCAGGGGTCTGTGGCCCACAGGCTGGGAACTGCTGCTCTAGGTCTGTGTCCGTGGGGGCAACCCGTGGCAGGATGCGAGCTTGACACGTAGCCAGCGGCTGCGTGACGCCGGCTCTGGCAGGAAGTGCTCCTGCGAGTCAGGAGAAGGTTTGCTTGGCTTCAACTTCCTCTTCCTGGCTAACGTGCTGCCAGACAAAGTGAGGGCTCCCCAGGGCCTTGTGGTACCGGTGGGACGGGGGTCCTCGCGGACCCGGGGCCACACCAACGTCCATCTTCTCTCCCCTGCAGATGGAGATCCTGAGCACGAAGAATTGCTACCAGGTGTCGGTGAACGGGCTGCACGTGTTCAACTATCTCCACCGCATCCCGGCCCACCTGGTGGATCAGCTGGAGGTAGCGGGGGACGTGACGCTCTCCAGTGTGCAGTACTGACCGAGAAGCCCTCCCAGTTCCAGCTGCTTGACCCAACCCCTCGGGCCGCATCTCCTCCACCACTCCAAAGCCCCCTCCTCGACTCCATTCAACAGCTCCACTGCGAAGCCCGGAGCCCGCAGTCACCAAATTTCACCTCCGACCGGAATTCAGAAGTTTCACCCCAGGGATGGAGAAGGGGAGGGCTTCTGGTTTTGTCTGTATACGTGTCTGATCCCGTAGATTAGAGCAGTGATTAGTCAACCTGTCCGGATTAGTGTAACCCTTCCCCCCCCCTCCTCAAATCACCTCACTTAAAATCGACTTGCTTACAAAATCAGACACAGCAATACAAACGGGTCACGGGTGACTGGCAACATTGATTTGGGATGAAATTTGTTTTGTCTTTTATTGTAAGTTTATTAAATGGGTATTAAAATAATTTTGTCTACACGTGGATATTCCATAGTAACACTGGAGAGTGCTTTGTTCTAGTCTGCCTTAGACAGAATTGTTCCATCCTGTTTGAAATTCCCTTTCGACGTTATTGTGCTGTTCTGTGTGTGAATGAGGCATGCGTGGAATAAGACCGGCCAGGCTGCATCAGACCAACGGTCCAGCTAGCCCAGTACCGTCTGCCGACAGCGGCCAGTACCAGGTGCCCAAGAGGGAATGAACAGAACAGGGAATTATCATGTGATCAATCCCTGTCATCCTCTGACAAACAGAGGTAGGAACACCGTTCCTACCCACCTTGGCTAATAGCCCTTGATTGACCTGTCCTCCATGAATTTATTTAGTTCTTTTTTGAACCCTGTTAAGTCCTGGTATTCACAACATCCTCTAGCAAGGAGTTCCACAGGTTGACTGAGAGTAGATAAGAGAAAAGATGCCAGCAAATTACAAAAGAGGGAGGGAAGAAACAAGATGCCAGCGTCCTCATCCTGAGACCCTGATAGCCGGACAGAGAGTACAAACCGAGGCCCTTAAAATGCAAATGCCTCCGCCCTAAATCAAGAACAAGGCACAGGATAAGGAGATGGAGGAGAGCTGTGAAAACCAAACGGCACGGATGGTGGAGAACTGCGAAAATGACCAGTTTGTGATAAACAATCCAAGCAGAGCTCGTGCGCTTCCAGGAGGCTACGTTGCTACAAAAGATGGGCCAGGGCCAAGAGGGGGTTCTGCAACAACAACAGAGCTTCAGTTGCATCCGGCGGAGGCCCGGCTTGCCTGCTCACGCTCAATCGAGCGGGCCACCTAGGTGGACCTGGGCAAGAGCAAGGACTGGCATTTCTAACCCCAGTTGCAGAACCTTTGGTGGGAGGGAATGCAGGCCGTCCCCGAACTCCAGTGGGGACATAGAACTCTTCTGGTCTTGGGACTGCGCTTGGGGGGCAGGATCTCGAAGGGAAGACCTCTCAGCCCCTCTCTCTGTCCTGCACAGGGCCGCTGGTGGCTGAGAGCAGTGCGTGGGGGTGTGGCCTTGGCTGGAGGGGGCGGGGCCATGGCTGGCCTTCCCAGCTTCACCTGCTTCTCCAAGCCTGGAAGATAAAAAGGTGATAGGCAACGACGTGGATTTGGCAAGACCCAATCGTGTCCAACCAAGCTACCAGCTTTCTTTGACAAGGTAACAGGCCCTTGTGGAAAGCGGTAGCTGTGCTATAGCTTGACTGTAGTAAGGCTTTTGACACTGTCTCGCGTGAACGTCTCCCGAACAAACTAGGGAAATACAAGCGAGGTGGAGCGACTATAAGGTGGACACGTGACTGGTTGGATAACCGTTCCCCGAGAGTGGTTCGCTGTCCGGCCGGAAGGGCCTCACGAGGGGGGGGAGGGTCTGTCCATTCCTATTCAGTGTTTTCCTCTGTGACTTCGATAATGGCACAAAGTATTCACGCATCTGACAAAGCTGGGTTCCCGCCCAACGAGATAAATACAGGGATTAGCCTTTCCGGTGCCAGGTGACTCCAGATCGGTTTTGCTGAAACCGGCTAACACAGCTCCCCCCGAAGTGTGTCCATCAGTCAGACTTGCAATCTCCCCGAGAGCAAGTATCCGAACGAGGCTTGGAGCTTTACTTTGGGCTTTTCCTGGTTCTCGGCCCTGGGAATGGGGCTGGGGTGTGAAATGGGGTGTAACGAAGCTGCGGTAAGTAACTGCCGAGCTTGCCTGCTGGTATTTGCGGGTGAAACCTGCTTTGGGAAGACCTGCAGACGTCACTGGGCCACGTTAATGCTGCAAAACATTTCCTTACCTGGCTATGAGAACCAATACTGCAACCCCTCCCCCGAGGTCCCCGCCTGCCTGCTGCTCTCCACCCGCCCCCACCTGCCACACCGAAAGAATTCAAACACTGTACAAAGGACTATGATTGCTCAGTCGAGCTACAATTGTGGCCAATATCCCAGTCAGGTGTCTATAGTCCATGATGGAGGCCTGAACTAGTTGTGCTTTGCACCTGCATTCAGAAGAAGGGGCTTTATTCATAAATCCTTTTCATCAGCTGGGGCATCAATCTTTTAAAAAAAAAAATCAATAGAATCTTCCAGCTATACCTGAACAATAGAGCCCTAATTCAAGTCACCATTAAAAATTGATATCGTGAAACGAGGTGTACCGGTAGTTCGGAATAGGCACCCTAGTCCGAACTACCTAGTTCGAGCCCCGTGTAGCCGCGCTACACGGGGTTCGAAGCAGCGGGGATTTAAAAATGGCGGCTCCCCGCTTATGCTAATGAAGCCCGGGAAATTCAAATCCCGGGCTTCATTAGCAAGTGCGGTATGCATACATTACCCTGCTAGTTCGAACTAGCGGGGTAGTGTAGACATACCCTGGTGCCGTCACACAGCTCTGATGGGCGGGGGTGGGCACCCACTGTGGTTTTTTCTGTGGGTGCCTGCTGTGACAGGGTGTGCATGCCCCACACTGGGACAGAGGGGGTTAAAGGAAGTCCCGCCCCTCCATCGCAACTGGGCATGCTCCAAGTGCTGGGGCAGTATAAAAGGGAGCAACGCAGCTCAGTCCAGGCTGGATGTTGGAGAGGAGCGACCCAGCCAGAGATCTGGGAGGTGGCATCAAGGCTCCAGAAGCAGTGGAGCCTCGGGGGAGCCTGGCGCTGTGGAACCTGAGGGCCCGGAAACCACGTACGTGGCTCATCCCAATGCCAGAACGGGTAGGAAGTGACCGAGGGGTCGCTCCCACCTGAGTGAGCTCCGCATGCTGCGGTGGGATCCCTTGCTGAGGGAGGGGTGGGTCACTCCCCCACTGACAGGGGCCTGGGTCGGGGCCTGGTGGAGTAGGGTGGGCCTGGGTCCCTACCAGGGCGGTTCCCCCAACTCCTTCGACTCTGGCCATTAGGCCGTGCTGCCCTGTAACCCAGGAGCTACACGACCAACTGGCCGTTGGGCTGTGCTGCCCTGCAACCAAGCGACTCTGGCCATTAGGCCACACTGCCTCGGGGTGACGGATTGAGTCGCGTCACCTACAGACCCACAGCAGGGTAAGCGGCGTCCCACACCCACGTCCTCTCCCTCCCAGGATGGGGTGTGGCTGAGCACCCACCGAGTCGGCGCCTGTGGCCGGCCTGGAGTCTTGACGAATTGGGCAGGGACTGGCCTCTTCCTCCAGCTCAGACTCATCAGGGTTTGAAGGGGAAACCCTTGACTCCCACGTGTTCTCGGGCCCAGGGACGCCCCCTGCCAAACCCATTAGCCACTGGGGCAGGTGGTCTGGACAAGGAGGGAGGGAAGCGACTAATAGACTATCCGCTAAGCCACCTTTT